TTTAGTTGAATGTTTGTTTGTTGCTTGGTTGGTTGAATATTTGTTTGTTTGTTTGTTGCTATGTTCACTCTGTGCTTTTCTCGCTTGTGAGGCTCCATGTTGCGAAGAACTTCTTATCGCACCTGCACCCACCACCTTCATACAGAACCTGGGTTCGGATCTACCACAAGTCGTGGGAGAAAACCATTCGTTTCAGAACAGAGAATCAGCATGCCAAATGCACTGTATGTCTTACCATGAAGGAACACAAAAGGCAAGCCTCCACGGTCTCCGACTCCACTGTGGTGGCAAATGCCTATATTCAACATCTCAATTTGATGATGGAAGACAGAAAAGCAGATGCAGTGTGGAGGCAGATCGGCTTCGACAGTGTCAGGACTGGAATTACTTGTCTACATGAGGGCGTTGCTTCTTGGTTGACGTTCACGGTGGATGGCATGGACTGCGCCAAGTTCAAGATACCCTTGAACATCAGCAAGACCAAAGATTTTTGCTCCATGCATCGTCCTGAAATGAAGTTGACACCTCGTGGACCCTCGTCTTTTTCTCTGAACACTTTGTGCCCAAAACATCTAATGCTAATTAGGTTGAAACTGATTAAGTGTCTTCAGATTCATTGTTGGATATCCAAGGTGGCCGATGGCCTTCTTGAACATTTCTTTCTGATGGACGAGGACATCGCTCCGACATCAAACCTTGACTTGAGCCTCATGACAGAAACCATGTCGCGGTGCTACTACTACATACAACGTATTGGAAAGGCCAGTTACCCTCGGGGGCTCCGAGTGCATGCAGACAACGCAGCTGCCGAGACAAAGAACCAGGTGGCCTTTAAGTTTGGAGCATACCTGTTGTGGAATGGATACTTTGACAATGTCGTTTGGTCTTATTTCCAGACTGGACACAGCCATGGATTGCCAGATCAGCGGTTCAGTGAGGTCAGACATCTGCTGTTTCAAGAATCAGTCTTGGAATGCCCAAAAGACTTCATCAAAGTTCTGCAGCAGGTGAAACCCAGGCAACAAAGAGAGCTACTGATCACCTCCGTTGATGGTTTGTGATTGGAAATCCTTTTTCGACCCACTTGAGATCAGCCTACATGGACATACGATGACAGCTGGGAAGAAGAAAAAGGGTGAGCACGCGTGCCATTTCTACATGATGGTCACACGCAAGAAGTACAGTGAAATTGGTGATTTGGCGATGATTGAAAACTTTCCAGATGAGGAGCCACATGAGAAGGACATCATTATGATAGTCAAATCACACTTGTCATCCACTGACCTGGCCCAGGCACCCTTCGTGTTCCTGCCTGCAGCGGCTCTGGCAAAGCTACAACGCTTTCCCGAGTACAATGTCCCCAGGAACAGCATGAGTGACAAAGTGAGGAAAGAGCTTGTGAAGACAATCAACAAAGTGGAGAGACCTCCGTGGTCGATGACAGAAGTGACTAGTCAAGACACTCATTTCTACAAATTGATTGAGCAAGCAGGTCAAGTGCCAGAAGTGCCTGAGACATGTGGTCACCCATTGGAAGAGTTGCGCGACAAGCTGAGCAAGCCGGAAGACCCGTCTGCAAAGAACCTTCTGAAGGAGAAGCCATTACCGCAAAATTTGTTGAGTTTTTGCATAGATTGTTCAACCTGTTTTTTCTTTGGTTGCCTTCCATTTGCTTCACTACAAAGTTGGTGGCAATTACTTCAATGAGTACATTCTAAAGCCCTTCAAGTCTGAGTGACTTTTGCTTCAACGCACACCCGGGTGGAAGTGAAGCGGGCAGCCAAAAAGTCTGCAGCAAAACCCAAAGCTGCACCAGAAGCTTTGCCAGAGGATGCTGGGCCCCTGAGTGACCGAGAGAATGCCGTTGTTGAAAACCTTGACCTGTCATTGCCCAGCCCAGCTGCTTCAGCCAATGAGCTTGAGAATCCTGCTGATCATGGACGTGGACGTGGGCGTGGTCGAGGTGGCTGTGGTGGGAAAGGACCTGCTGTCAAGAAAAGGCCAGCCTCAGCATCTGGAAAGGGAGGTCCTAGCAAAAGGCCAGCCTCAGCAGAGCATGCAGTGCCTGCAGCTTCAATGAATGATCAGAATGAAGCAGCATCAGGTGCCCCACATCCACCACCAGATGCTCCAAGGGCTGCACCAGATGAACATGAGGCAGAAGTTGCCCTTCGAGGTGGAAATTCCGCGAGGCTCTATGCTGACATCTCGCTTGGGTGCCCGAAATGCCGCAATTCCAGAGTTGGCTGTGCTACTTGCCGGAAGGCCAATGGACTCTGGTTGACCAACAGTTGCTTGGCTGCTGTTTTTTCAATCGATGATGTATGAAAGAGATTGAGCACAACAGGGAAAGTGCTAGTGTACTGTGATAGGATTGCTTTTGAAAGGTTGATGCGAGTCTTATTAATTATTATTGTGGCACATGTGTTGTATATTCACCACGATCACAAAATGCGGTCCACTAAGATGTTTGGACAAAGCCAAACGATGATTGACATCCACTTCCAGAAGCGCCAGTCCGATTTTCCTGAGGAGCAACAGCAGAAAGCAAATGCAAAAAAGGTGTTAATTCCTGATACTTGAAGCAGTCAGTCTTTTTCAGAGAAAGGTGCTGTAAGAGTACCTAAGGTTGCACACATTCCAAAGAGTGCCGTTAAAGTACTTTATATATAGTCAGAATAAACCTTCACAGATAGGTTCGTGTTCCCATTCTGAGGCGTCACATTTGCAATAATTTTGCTTGGCACTTATTCTGCAAGACTGCAAGAACGTGAAGTTGTGACAGATTTAAAGTAAAGAAGATGTTGCATCCTTTTCTGAGGCCCCTCTTTGCAATGCCACCACAACCCCTGTGTGGTGCGCACCAGGGTTGCAAAGCTTTTGACATTTGTGCAGCTGTGCACTTGTTCTTGACATGCCTGCTTGCTTCTCAATGTCAGTGTTGTGGTGCATGTCAATGCCTTCCTGCTGGTTTATGCCCATTTCAACAGGAAATTGGGCTCAAAGTGTTTTTGCCTTTCATTTGCCACAATGCCTGCAGTGCATTCCGTCCCAGTGAGAGAACTGCCAAATGCTGATGTGATCATGATAGAAGGATCTGATTCAGATGCTGACTCTGATGTGACACTGGACTATGGCAAACCTGACGGCCCTTGGCACTTCATGGAAATCTACAGCCCCTTCCGCGTAGCTGCAGCAGTGCATCGGCTGGGCTTGAAGTCAGCAGGAAGCTTAGATGTGCTCAACGGCGTTGACCTTCTCACTCCAGATGGCAGGATGACAGCACTACGCCTGCTGGAGTCAAAGAAACCTTTGTTTCTTATGAGCAGCCCCCCGTGCACCATGTATTCAGAGCTCACGCGGTTGTGGAACGCCAAGAAGATGGACAAGAAGGTTCGGAAGCTCCGCCAGAAAGAAGCGGATTTGATGCTCAAGTTTGGGGTGGAGATGTGTGCTATTCAGCACAAAGCTGGAAGACTTTACTGTCATGAGCACCCTCACAAAGCGTCATCGTGGAAGTCATCTTTGGTACCTTTGCTTCATTTGGTTTCATCTGACCCAGTACAGTGAAAAGATGTGGCTGAGGTTTTTTGAGGCAGGGAAACTGAACATTTGATTGAGGTACAGAAAATGGTCAACTGGCCAGAGACACAGCTGGTCAGTTTTGATCAGACGCTTGCTTCAATCAGCTTTTGGTTTGGTTGATTTTTGCTTGACAAACCTTCACGATTTTCTTATATATAAACGTGTAACGCGGTGTGCTGCAAGAGTATGCCAAACAAGCCAAACAATTGGTGCTGGAAGAGTGCCTCTCATGACATTGGTGCTGTAATAGTACATCCAGGTGCTGCAAAAGTACCTCCGTGAAATTGATGCTGTAGACTTAGAATAGCTCTAGCACTTGCTCATTGTTTGTTCTATGGATCACTTTTTGAAGGTCTCTGGGTGTGCATGTTGGATGTGTGGGTTTGCTTTAAGGTGCAGGACAGGCCTTTGTGCCCCTGGATCCTCTGTGGATGTGCACCCTATCAAGAAGCGCACCACCTTGATGACAAACAGCGCAAGCGTTGTCAGAATCTTCTCACAGCTGCAGTGTGAGTGCAGTGTGGAGCATTTCCATGTGCAGGGTTCTTTCAACGGCGTGCCTGTGTCCAAACATTGCCAAATTTACACTCCAGGGCTTTGTGCAAAACTGGCAGAGGCTGTGCAGGAGGAGGCTAGCCAGAGAATCCCGTGAGAGTGGACTGCCAAAGGCTTCCCAAATTCGAAATTCAATGCCAGCTGTCCCAGCAGACTACAAGTAGACTAGAGCCTGTATCTCTCAAGATAACGAATGGCCTGGATGGTCCTGGATGGTGGAAAACTAAGCATCAGTCCGAATCCGGGCGAAGTGGGGGTGCAGAAATCCTGCCCCCCCCCCTAAGCCTGATTTCATCTGAAACCGGGCGAAATCGGTATCGTAACCATGGATCCAGGCTAAGTGGGGGTGCAGGATTTCTGCAGGGGGGGTTAGCCTGGAATCTATCTAACCCTGGGGGGATAGCCTGATTTCATCTGAAATCGGGCGAAGTGGGGGTGCAGGATTTCTGCAGGGTGGGTTAGCCTGACCTATACAATTTTGTTTTTTGAGATCTTGATTTCAAGTCCTCTGGACCAGTGCTTTTTTGGCTTTCAGCCTTGGGGAAGCTAGCTGACTGATGTCAGCTGAAATGGCAATGCCAGTGACACCGGGGGCAAGCTTAGAATCGGGTTTGGACCGATGCTATGACAATGACCCTCCAGGGCCTGTGCTGACACCTTCCAAGGTGAAGACACATGATGATGGTGGCAGTGAGAAGTGTTTCTCTTTGACAACGGCCAAAGGTGAGGATGTTGAGATGAAAGAAGAGCCTGCGATTTGCAAGGGCCTTGATGATCAACAACTGATTTCTCTGGAGAGGGCCTTGAAGAATGCAAGCACAGAGGAGTTCAAGGACGTTTTCTACAAGTATGGCAAAGGAATGCTTGTCAAGTTCAATGGAGTCTCTGAGTTGCTGAATGACTGGTGCTCACTTGGCCTTGATTCCAAGCAGTTTGCAGAGGACCTTTTGAACATGTTCCCGAAGTCTGATGCAATTGCCTTCGCATCATGCTTGCCTGGGAATGACTCGGATGAGTTCAACCTACACCTGAGTGATCTTTCTTGGTTTCCATCTGCTTCAACGAAGCCACCGCCATATCTTCACACATGCCTTGCCCTGTGGGATGAAATCACAACCAATGGCTTTGTCACCAAAGGTGACTGTGCTCAATCCAATGATTGTTTTTGGGTGTGTTTGTGTTGTAATGATCTCTCTGTTTGCCCTTGTTCACGGTAGTCAGTCTCTTTAGCAGGTGACCCGTTGCTGCTGTGGGATGGCCCTGCTCATGCAGATGGGCGGGATCATGCTTGGGTCTACTATGTGAAGGGAGCAGCGCGAGGAATGATTGCTCTTTTCACTGCATTTATATGCATCAAGAACAGTACCTCAGCCTTATTGCATTGATGTTCTTTTGAACTTGTTGCTATTTTTGCCAACTTGATGAGCTATTGACTCCTTCATGTTCTCTCTGTGTGGTTCTTGTCTTCAGGTTTGAAGCTGAACATCATGCATCCAGTGCTCTATGACAGCTTGCGCTTCATTTGTTGCAGGCGTGGTTCAATGTCAAATGACCTGATGAGGGTGGCATTTACAAATGCCAAGCTAAGTGCTCGAGGATCGATTCGAAGGTCCCATGATGTTGCAACTTGGTTATCCAAGATGAGCATGCTATGTGAACGTGGCTTAAAAGCAGACAGTGCGATCAAGTCATGGAACTCAGAGGCGACCCGTGAATCTCAGTTGGTGGGTCAGAAACGTGTTGCTCTCTTGGCGCTTCTCAATGCTCCAAATGGGACAAAGGAACTTCTTCTCCAGCATGCCTCTTTCTTTGGAAGTAGTTCAGCATATTCTGAAGAGTGCTTCTCCGCCAAGAACCTTTTCCCAGGGTCTCAGCCTCGAAGTGTGCTGGACAAAGCTTGGCGCGCCCGCCTCACTGTCACAGATCCAGGCTTCTTGCTTTTCTCGCAGTACACAGATGCTTGCCACCATCAAAAAGTACCTGAAGTCCGAGGAAAACTGAGCAAGGAGAGGATTTTGGAGCTCAGTCAACTTGCGCAGTTGGTGACCTCAATGGAACAGGAGTTGAAGGATGGTGGCGTTGTGACTACCAAGATCTCTGAGGCTTTGCTGGCTTGTGATGGCAACCTGGAGTTAGAACTCCAAGTAGCATTGAGCGAGAAGAGTTCCAAATGGAAAATTGCAGATGTGACGCTTGTGCAGGAAGTTCTGAAGAATCATTCCGCAGCAGCTGACTCAAAGTTCTATGTCGAGAAGCGGATGGTTGCAGCAGGTGAGCTTGAACGAGAAGAGTATGACCTGATGAAGAAGATGTTTGAGTTTCTTGCTGTCATTTGTGTTCTTTATGCTTGGTTTTTAGTTGGGGGATCATAAGAGCATAAAAGATCAATTTGGGTTCATTGTTCTCATTTGTTTCAATCAACAAGGCATGACCTGAAGAGCTTTGAGAACTGGAAGGTTCGCTGCGCAGACCGGGATGCTGCCATTTACCATGCAGAACTGCAACATAAGGTTCACCGACAAGCAGAAGCTCAAAAGCAAGCATCCAGCTTGTTGGATCCAGCTAGTTCGAACTGGATGGCTTCCTTGGAGGTCCTTGGAAACGCCCAGGACACCCTGCACCGCATCAAGGCCACTGTTGGCAAGATCAAGCAGATATTCCAGATTCCAGCCGAGGAGATCTACGTGGTGGCTGTGTGCAACTGGAGTTCACCAAGTCTTGTCTCTTCTGCAGCACAAAAATGCCAAGCCACGGTCCTTGGTGCCCTGTGCAATGATGCTGTTGGCTGTGGACGAACCATTGGCCTAGTTCTTGAGCCATGTCACACCTACAGCAAAGGCCAGCTGTGGAAACAGGAGGAGCTGTTGCGCAAGCAGTTGGTGAACAATCGATGCAACATAGATGGTCGCTTTGTTCTGCCATTTGTTGAAAGGCAAGACGATCGAGATCAAAGGCCAGGGATGTGGCCAGGGTTCTGAACCAAATATGTATCATTATCAAATTTGACAAAAGAACAGAGTTCATGTTGATATCACTGGATGCTTTGTTTGTCCATTGCAGCCCTTCACTTGGAGGTCTATGTGTCGACATGGACGGCTGATATTCCCCAGTGACGATGACCAATGTGGTCAGGTATGGCGAACTTGGAAGAATTGCCAAGTCCTAGCCAAAGGACTCTTGGAAGAATCTCATTGTCTTCAGTCCAAAGACTTTGTTGCGATTGAAGATTGCAGCGAGTCTGCTTTGCCATCATCGACAACACTGACTCACAATGCCGGCCCGGCCGAGAAGTGCTGTCAGTTGGGCAAGGATGCATGTGGCTCACTGTTGAGGGGTACATTGGGCACATTGGGTTCAGGCAAGCCAGTTGTCCTGGTGATTGACCTGTTTGCGCACACAGGCGACCTGCTTAAGGCTTGCATGAAGGAGCGATTCAATCCAGCAATGTCTCTTCACATGTTTTACCTTGGGTTCCATGCATCTCAACTGGAGGCAAGGTGTTTGTGAAAAGTATGATGATTCTCAACTGAGCATTTTCCTCTAATTTGTGTTGTGACATGCTTTGTATATGATACTTGATCAAGGCTGAATGGGCAAAGCAGCACCATGTGGAGAAGCTATTCGAGTCCTTCTTGAGCGAGGAGTACAAGCCCTTGACACCTCTCCCTGGCCCCCCGGATCAGTTGGCTCAGCCTGGCCCTCAACATCCTACTTTGAGTTTGCTGGCTTGGGGCACTGGCAAAGCAAAGGACACTTTGAAAACACCGGATAAAGTCCTCAAAGCTTGGTGGGATGGAAATTTTGCTTCTGAGTTCAGGGCCTTAGTGGAGGAGGCAAGACAAAACCATCAGCTTGACATCAAGATCGATGAGAGCCAGAACGCTCAAACTCAAAAGCGCCGGCGGGTCAATGCTGAAGGTGAGTCTGTGCCAGGCCAAAACAACAGCAGCTCTTCTAGCACGCCTGCAGCAGCCACAACCACAGATGTGAAGGTGGTGGACGTTCCGGACATTCCAACCCTTTGCTTTGAGTGCAAGGTCACTTCCAACCCGAGCCTTGTTCTGAAGGTCACTATTGGCCAAGGTGTGTTCTTGGAGAATTTGATGGATACTCCACAGGTGTTGAAGGCAGGAGTGGTTCTGTGTGGGTACTACAAAGGCAAGTTTTGGTCACCAGATGGCAATGGAGAGAAGCCATGCGAGAAGTCGGATGTCTTGTTCCGATTGGAGTCCAGTATGGACCATGTGATGCTCAACTCGAAGTACCTGAAGGTCTCTGAAGTGATTAGGGAGAAGCGCAAATTGACACCAGCGGACGCTCATGTGGCCTATCATGAACTGCAGGATTCGCCGACACCTACTGATGCATCTGCATTCAACTTGGTGCCCAAGAAAATGGATGTCTTCTTCAAGATCTCGGACTTTCCTGCAGTGAAGCAAGAAGAAGATGGTCAGGATAAGTTGATGATTCCTTCCGCTCACTTGGCTGGAACTGTGCCATCAAAGGTGTGGCAAACAAGTGATCTTGCCAAGGTCACTTGGGCTGTGAAATGGCCTGCAGTGGCTTCAAAAGGTCTACAACCTGTCAGGCCAATGATCGTCTGCGCAAAGGACATTACTGTTCCGCCAAAGCAAGCTGTGGAAGTTGTGAAGCCTAGCACCTGAGCCCAAGCGCCGGCATCTGTTCAATGATATGCTGAATCGCTGGCACTTGAAGTTTTGAATGTTCTCCATATTTCATGGGTAGTGAGAATCTTGTGATGCCTTTGTTGAGTTGAGATGTGTTTTCCAGAAACAAGCGACTTGTGAAACCACCACAACAAGCCAGGTTAGCTTTTGTTGTTTCAGAAGCATGTCTGGGCATCAATGAGAGCTTGAAGCGGGGTGGGTCCAGACTCACACAACGGAATGAGTCTGTGTTGGATCAATGCTGTGGCCATGACAAAGTGGTAGAGACACTACTGTCAAGATTGAGTTGCAGCACTTGTGTCACTTTGTTATCTCTTCATTGGTCAAGAAACTACTGTAATCATCTTTCACCAGGTACCTGGCAGATTTTGCAGGTTTGAAGCTTAGACTGGGCTGCCTACTGACTTGATGCAATTCTCCGTTTGGTGCTGCAAGAGTACCGTGAAATTGATGACACTCTGGTGCTGAAAGAGTACCGTTCATTTTTTGTGCCTGGTTCTGATTCTGCACGAGTACCTTAAAATGTGTTCTTTCACCCTGGTGCTGAAAGAGTACCTTCAATCTAGTACTTTTTGACATGTCTTTGAGGCCTGACCATTGGATTGGTTGTGTGATTTGAATGGTGCTGGCCTTGGGTTTGGGAATGGGGAAACAAGTCAGATCTATGCAATTCAGATTTCAATTTGTTGCGTTTGCTGCATTCTTGTTCAAGATGCAAGGATAGCAGTTCAACACCTGGAAAAAACATGTTTGATTTCAATGGCGTGCAGATTCACACCCATGACACCCATGTTTTCTTTTCACAGTGGTCTCAATCTGGCAAGTCTCAAGCCTAGCCACCCAGCAATGGGAGAACATAGTGAGGGGCCACCACCAATGCCTGTCTCTGAGAGGAAAAGGACTGCAGCACCTAGACCTCCCCTTGCGCCGCTAGAGAAGAAGGCCAGGCCAGCTGAGCCGCCACCAATCAAGCTGATGACTGCAAGTGCAAAGGGCAGTGCGCCGCTTCCTCCAGCGAGCATGGTGTCACCGCCTCCCCGAGCACCAAAACATGGAACAGCAGCGTCGGCAATTGGCGCAAGATCTGTGAAGCAAGAAGATGGCCCAGCAACGGTTGCTGCTGCCAAAGCTTCACTGCCCAAAGAAACAACTGCAGCTGCAGAGGCGCAGCAACATGGAGGCCACATGGCCAAACCACCCAATGCACCAGCTGCCAGAACGACACCTGCAACAGCAGGCAATCAGCCAGCAAATGCTTCAAGCGCAGCAGCAACGAGCAGCCAACCAGCAGCTGGGGGTTCTACCAAAACTGAATCACCTGCAGAAGTATCACCAAAAGTTGAAGTGCCAGACCCAGGTGTAAAGGTTGAAGGAGTGTCAGATACACCAGTGCCACAGCAAGGTGGTGCTTGGGGTGTGTATGGATCAGTGCCGTCACCTGGTGTGCAATGTGGCTTCCATCGACCTACGGTGTCGCCGCAGCTGGGCAACATGGGGGCACAATTTTCACCAGCAACACCGTTGATGCAAACAGTGCACTTTGCACAAATGCCAGCTGGACAGGTACCGACTATTATGCCTTCAGGGTTGCCTGCTATGATGCCTGGGCCAATGCAATTTGGGGTGCCACCAGTGGCACCGATGGTTCAACCAGTGTCACAGGCGCAAGTGGCTGCAGCAGCAGCAGCAGCAGCTGAAGCTCCAGCAGCGCAAGCATCTTCTGCAGCTGGAACATTCACCTCCCTTCCAGGCCATGGTGTTTGGCGCCCTGGATGCCCGTCTGGCCAGCAGAAAGGGGAACGTCAGGGCAAAGGCAAAGGCCATGTCCACAATAGTGCTCAGATTCGGCGGGAAAGTGCACAGCGAGAGAAGATCATCCGAGAATCCTATGAATCCCAAATGCAGGCTCAACAAGATAACTTTGATATCAGGATGGAGTCTTTGTCTACAACCTATGAGGCAAGGGTTGAGACCTTGAGAGCAGAGCTGGTGACTGTGAGGGCTCGACTTGCGCTGGCTGAGAATATGTTGCGCCAGAATGGATTGCTGCCCTGACTTTTTTGACCTGTTGTGTGGAAAAATAAATGCCCTGGAGATATCAATTCAGGTTCTTGACAAATTGTTTGCATCAGCAGTCATACTAAATTCAACTTTGTCCTTGGTCCAGGTGCTATGAAGCTTGTTCGGCCTGTTTCTCAAAACGTTTGAGTAAGTTTGTGATTTCATTTATTGACTGATATTGTTGCCTGTCAGGTGCTTGCACTATATGATCGCGGTCGCTCCTGTTTCCATGAATTAAAAATTGTGCCTGAGTGACAGCTGAGGATGATAGCCTTCTTTGGTTTTAATTCAACATTGAAACCCATATACTTTAACAGCAATGTTACAGCATTGCTCTGTGCTACTTTATGATTACCCCCATGGTACTTTTACAGCATTTTTTTTCCTTTTTCAAGATCACCCCTGCGCTGCTCTTGCAACAACTCCGTGTTATTACAAGTTCAGCCCTATGGTACTTTTGCAGCACTGCTTTGTGTTATTTCAAGGTCATAACCCCTGCATGGTACTCTCACAGCACGTTGGCCTTGTCACCTTCCCATTGCACTCTTACAGCGCGGCTTTGCCTATCCCCCTTTTCCTATGTAGATCCCTATGGTACTATTGCAGCACCATTGCCAAACAAACATACATGACCAAGATCACATTTCAGTGCTCTAGTGTTTCTTGACATGTTGACAGTGTACTTTTGCAGCACCCAGAACTCATCCATACCCACAACTTTTGTATGACATGGATATTTGTATGGCATCGGTAAACTTTAAACCTTAATTTGTGTCCATTTTTCAAAAGTTCATATACCGAGAAAACATCAAAGCCACAATGCGAGGTCGTCAATGAAATGCAAAATAAGACCACATCAAAAAACAAAAGTCCAACTGGCAAAAGACAATATTCCAATGGCAGAGCCTTAGTAGCAAGCCCGCACCGCTGGAGTCTAATGTTGCCAACGAGCGCAAGGGTTGCCCAAGAGGTGTATGAGCCGTTAATAGGAATTCAGTATCCCATGCTGTGCAGCCGAATGGGAGACACCTGGCAAATAGGTACCACCTCCATCCGAGAGGATCACCTGATTGCCTCAGGCCTCAGATTTGTCCATTGGTGTCATGCTTCGCCCAATGTGCATGCAAGACATAACCCAAAGAACGATCCTACCGTGCGAGTGTATCAACACCTCGAAGACCAACTTACCAAAGCAGGAGCTGACACCGATGACATCTTGGCCCTTACAACCACCCGAGAAGGAGCAACGAATTTGCGCAACTACTTCACCATTGCCGACAAAACGGCCAATGCAGAGACTGCAGTCAAAGTTGCAGGTGCCACGGCCAAACACTGCATCGTTATCCACGGGGTGTCAACCTTCCTCAGTGGCGAAGGGCACAACCTGGATTATGACCAGGAGTGCTTCACACGTGCAAATGTGGCATACAGCCGAGCCACCGACCTCACCATCCTAGCCTGTCCGCTGAACATGCAAGGGATGCCCGGGGCCCTGCAAGTTCTAGCAGCCCTTTTGCATGGTGTCCAAACGATATATACCTATGACGGCAACAGAGAGCCCGTCATTTTCGGCTCGCTGGACCTTACTGCCGCACAGGTTGCGCAGGCCACGATATTCTTCCAGCAAGCGCTTCTGCCCCACCCAATGTGGTTAGGCCCTCTACCGGTCTGTCTCGCAGAATACCATCAAGGCAAGGTGAGGCGCTTACGTCTCGTCTTAGCAGCACTAACGCACTTGACCAAGGCGGAAATAACTAGCCTGAGAGAAGGACCCCACCTGCCAGGTGGAACGGTCTCGCATGACCTTGTCTATGGCTATGCGGTTGATGCTTCGCTTGAGCCGGAGTGGTTGGTCATAACAGACGGGCAGCAGCCAGGACGTTGGCGGCTCCTCCACAATAGCTCTGGCCCAGGAAAAAGGTGCAGCGTAGGAAGCTCCCTGCGCTACCAACCAACGCCAAGCACGGTGGACCAACGTAGTGCACAAGATTACACTTTCGAAGCGTTGCACCGAGTGTACTTTTATGACGCATGGAGAGTGCAGCCAGTCCTCGATGCCCCCGGATCTGAACTGGTCCTGCCACCGCGACCAGGCTTATTAGTGCAAGGCTGTTACTGGCCTCAGCCAAGTGCAACACCTGAGGTCCTCTCTGTCTCTGACCGTGAGACAGAAAAGGAGGAACATGATGTGCAAGAGGGACAGCCACTGTCCTCCCCGGTGGCGACAGATGCCACAATGGCCGAAGACGAAGGTGATGAAGTGGTCTCTGTCCACAGCTCCGCCTCAGAGTCACCCACCATCCCGAGTACAGAGCAGCCGGAGGCAGAAGACGAGCACATGGAAGACGACGACAGTGCTAACACCTCCTCTGCAGATGAGGGTGATTGCCTTAGCAACCATCCAGCTCCTCCTGAAGCATATCCAGCTCACGAAGAAATGCTGGAGGCAGACGATGAAGCAAGGAGCACGCTACCTCCACAGAACGGGGAATCCCCAAGCAGCAGTCCCACGTCGCACTCCTCTGAATCCCCCATCAAACGAAGACCGGGGTCTAAGACTAGTGCAGGGAGAGCTCAGTCCAAGAAGTTACGAAAATCACTTGCTCCAGCATCCAGGCAACAGCTCGGTAGCATCCCCGAGCACGAGCAACCACCGGCCACGCTGGCAGACCTGGCCAGTCGGAATGCTCAAACGCAGGATGCTCCAGTTTGCAGGAATCCGGAGACACCACCTGACCATCCTGGAGCGACGCAAGAGAGCTCACACACCATCACAGAAATAGACCTTGCCAGTGATCAAGAGCAAGCAGAACGCGGAGGCACTGCTGCCACTGATCTCCAACTAGAATCAGAGCAGAGAGCCATGCAGGCCCTCTACGACTATCAACATGCGGCTCGAACGGCCAGAGAAGCTA